ATATAGTCTTATAGAAATAGAGATTACAGCTAATTTGCCATTTCATTAATGAAATAATAAGACACCTCTATTCTGCATATTTACATGTATGTTTGAATTGAGAGACAAATACTAAGAAAATGAGAGAAAAACATCATAAAGTCACCCTGCAGGGATTCCTATGTGTACCTAGTATACCTAATATACTTGGAATACGGTAGTTATCCTTATTGGATTATAATTCTTTTATGTCTAATTGTGCTACTAGATTCTGACCACCTCAATGGTAGGGAAATGATGTTATTCATCTTTGTTTCTCACTACGAAGATTCCTGGAACATACTATCATCACGTGTTCCCTAACAGCTAAGGAAGGAAGCCAGGAGAGAGAATCTGTATCTACCTTCTCTCTCACCTCCTGCTTAGTTATAATGAAACTAACTAACTATTAAACTGTGGGGGAAGAGTCATGGTATATAGAGTTAGGAAATAAAAGAAGTGCAATGTTGCATTGTATAGAATATACATAGTCGCAGAAAAGAGGCTATTTTAGAAGCCACTATATAATATGAATTCCAAATACAATCTAGTATATGAAAGAAATTTTCAAAGAAGAAATGGAAAATTATACAATGAAAAAGCAATAACAGTAAAATATTACTGGAGCATGACAACACTGATTGTACTACAACGCATCCGATAAAATTCTTAAAGATTAACTCAAGCTACCCACCTTATCACATATGTACTTAAATGCCTGGATCTATTCAAGGGACTATCCACATCATATATATACATACTTGAAAAAAATAACTGACCAAGAATGTTCAATATGTCCTTTATTCTATCTGGCTTCCTTTAACTCTACCTATGGCCTACCAAATTTTTAGCTCAAGCTGTTTTTCTTTTATCAAAAAATAAACTTAGGAAATTTGGTTTATGTATGAAATGGTTGATTACACTTGACACAGGAGAAAGAGGGCAATAAAAGGAAAGTAAGAGTTCGATGATTTATTCTAGTCAAGTATGAATGCCTCAGGAAACAATCAATGAGTGATGTTATGAAATTATGGATTCATAAATTTTCTTAATGTTCATGGCTTTACATACTTGGAATAAAAGACAGGCAAACCCTGTCATGCCCAGGGAGGGCATAGGGACTGATTATGGCTGAGAGACAGAAGAAAGAAATCCTATTTTAAAGACCCAGGCACACTGAGACATCTTAAGAGACTAAGCCAAAACAACAGAAAACATCAACCCACTCCCTACCACTGACCACCAGGCTAGCAAACATCAGATAATAAGCAACAGCACTACTGAGTGTAGAGAGAGAGGCACCCTTTGAGGCTCAGTCTTACAGGGAAAGACTTAAGTTGAGTGTGGAGTACGGACATTAAAAGAAAAACCTCCAGCAATGTAGCTCCCATGCCAAACACAAATACTAGAGGAACTGAACCTGGTGGTATACTGAGGGTAACCACAGTCACAAGAAAATAAAAATCCAGGTTCAACTCACCCTACGTGGACCCACACTAATGACCTAACATAAGAAAAGGAATGCCCACTTTCAGATATAAATACTTTTATCTCAGTCCTACATATAATGTCTCACTTTCACACAAACATTATACAACACACAAAAGCAGGGGGGGAAATGCACCATCAGGAAACAAAGCGATCAGCAGAACCAGACTCGGAGATGACCCAGCTGTTGGAACCACCAGATAGAAAACTTTAAATTACTGTAATATGTTAAATGCTTTGGTAGAAAAAGGAGAACAACGTACACGACTAGACTGGGAATTTTACCAGACAGCCAGTAACTATAAGAATCAATGCAAATGCTAGAAAAAGAAACAAACCACAGAGATGAAAATGCCTTTGTTGAGCTCATCAGTAGACTTGACACAACTGAAAAACAAATCAGTAAAACTGAAGATAGGTCAATAGGTCAATAGACAGAAATTATCCAAACTGAAACACATACACACACAAAAGAGTGTGTGTGGGATATGCAGTAGGGACTGAAAAGGGCTGAAAACCAGAACAGGGCATCTAAGAACAGGGACTAACATCAAATGATATAACACAGGTGAAACTGGAACCCCAGAAAAAGATACAGACTATCTCAGAAAACACCAATCAAGATAAATACAAAAAATAAATACACCAACAGATAAACACATAAACAAATGACCTAATCAGATTTAGACATATATTCAAAATAATGAGGAGAGGACTAAAGACAAAATAAAGGTACAATCTTGAGGGCAACCAAAGAAAAAGGACACATTACACACATACATAGAAACAAAGATAAAAATTACAGGTAAGACATCTTGTCAGAAAATATGTGAGCCAAGACACAAGGAAATGACTTCTTTAAACTGCTGAAAGAAAAACAATCTTTTCATATGTCTGTTGGCCATCTGTATGTCCTCTTTAGAGAAATGTCTTTTCGTATCCTCTGCCCATTTTTTAATTGGGTTGTTTTTTTGGTGTTGAGTTGCATGAGCGTTTTATATATTTTGGATATTAACCCCTTATCAGATATCTCGTTGACAAATATCTTCTTCCATTCAGTAGGCTTCCCTTTTGTTTTACTGATGGTTTCTTTTGTTGTGAAAAAACTTTTAAGTTTGATGGCCAACAGGCATATGAAAAAATGTTCAGCCTCACTAAGCATTAGGGAAACGCAAAGAAAAACTACAATGAGATACCACCTTACCCCGGTCAGAATGGCTATCATCAATAAGTCAACAAACAACAAAAGCTGGTGAGGTTGTGGGGAAAAGGGAACCCTGGTGCACTGTTGGTAGGACTGCAGACTGGTGCAGCCACTACGGAAATCAGTATGTAGGTATCTGAAAAAACTGGAAATGGAACTACCTTATGACCCAGCAATTCCACTCTTAGGTATTTATCCAGAAAAACCCAAGACATTAATTCGAAAAAATATATGCACCCCTATGTTCACTGCGGCGCTATTCACAATAGCCAAGACCTGGAAACAACTGAAATGCCCATCGGTAGATGACTGGATTAAGAAACTATGGTACATTTACACAATAGATTATTACTCAGCTATAAAGAAGAAGGAAATAGTACCATTTGCAACAATATGGATGGAACTAGAGAACATTATGCTAAGTGAAATAAGTCAGTCAGAGAAAGACAAATACCATATGATCTCACTTATAAGTGGATTCTAAAAAGCTGAATACATGAGAAATGTAAACAGAAATAGTCTCAGAGACACAGAGGAAAAACAGAGGGTTGCTAGTTGGGAGGGGGTGGGGATGAAGGAGAAGGGGAAGGGATGAGACAATACAAATTGGTAACTACAATATGGCCTCAGGGATAGAAAAGACAGTCTGAGGAATATAATCAATAATTTTGTAAATATTTTTTAGGGGGCCAGATGGACTCATGTCTTGTTAGGGAGACCACTTCATAGTCGATGTAGAGGCCTGACCACCGCACTGTATTTCTGAAGCTGATGTTGAATAATAATGAATGTCACCTATAATTATATATACATATAGTCACGGGACGTGGAGTAGAGTGTGGGAATGGAATCGATGGAATTGTAATAGATAAGTATGATATTGGATGTGGGAGGGCAGTAGATGGGGGGTGTTGTTTCTATGCGAAGGGTGAAAAGGATAACTATTGCATTGTTCTGTACACCTGAAACAATAAAAAAAAAAGAAAAAGAAAAACAAAACTGTCAATCCAGAGTTCTATACTCACCAAAAATATCTTTCAAATATGATTAAAAAAAAGAGTTTTTAAATGAAAAAAAGCAAGGAAGAATTAGTTATCAGTAGATCTGTAACAAGATGTATCAAAGGAACTTTTTTAGGCTGAAGGAATGTGATACTAGACAGAAAAGGAGAGCTACACAAAGAAACGAAGAACGCTGGAAATGGTGAAAATGAAGGTAAATGTACAATTATTTTTAAAAGTTTTTAATTGCTCTAAAAATAATTGACTAAAGCAAAAACAGCAACACTATTCTGTCTTTAAATCTAAGTGAAAGTAAAATTTCGGACAACAATAGAAAAAAGAACACAAAAACTATCAATATCAGGAATGAAAGAGGATCATCACTGTAGAACCCTCATTTAAAAGAATAAAGGAATACTACAACTCTATACACACGAATTCAACATCTCTGATAAAATGTACCAATTCTTCAAAAACCATAAACTACCACAACTCACTCAGGAATAAACGGATAACCAAAACATCTTATATCTATTAAAGAAATTTATTTCTAGTTAAAAACCTTTCAAACCAAAGAAAACTTTCTGTGGTGTAATAAAAACAGCCGCTTGGAAGAAAGCTGTTACCTCTGCCTAGGTTTGTTTCACTCATTCACTGTATAAGACAGAAATGCTACTCAAAAGATAAATGCTGAATCTGCCTCACTTCATTAAACTCAGAAAGAAACAAGTAATTTTAAAAACTGACATCAAGAAAGGAAGTACTTAAGCAAAATTATTTTCAGAAATTTCTCATCTATTAAACTGCCCACTAAATAACATTTATATGGTAATTCTGAGTGTTATATACTCAGTGCCTGTTTAAAACAGCTAAAACATAAGTTACTATATATCCAAAATATTTCTATTTTAAAAATTAGTTAAATCTTCTGATAGTCTAAATTCCCCAGAAAACTAAATCATCTGGAAAGTTTAATTTTCTAGTGTACCAAATGTTTGAGATTTTACTGATTTCAGGATTTTTAAGTCATAAACTCATTTTTATTAAAGTAAGTAACAGGCAAGTGAAATATATGTCTTTGTCAAAACAAAACTACCTTACAATTTTTCTTAGGGTTAGATATTTTTACATTGAATGAAAACAAAAAACAAAATCTCAATTTTTTTCCTGATAAGATGCCAATAATTGTTACTGATGTACACACATTGAATTAAAATGTTTTAAAAATCACACCAACAATAATTTCTAAATGTATAAAGCTTTAAGTTATAAAATAAAACAAAATTTACCTCCGACACAGGTTCTTGTTTCTTAGTGGGAACTTCATTTTTTAATCTTGAAAACAAAATAAGTATTGAATATTTTATTTTACAATTAAAATGGAAAAACACGAAACAGTTCTTTTGCATGCTTAAAATAAATAAAATATAAATCTAAACTAATGTACATCTTATAGTATAATAGTAAATGATCTCTGTAAATATTTTAAGGGAAAAATAAAATAAGAATAAAGAAGAGAATAAACAGCAGATTCAATAAATGTGCTAAATAAATGAACAGACATGTATTTCTTCTCTAAAAACAAGAGCACTTAAGAAATGTTTTCTATGCTAAATACAACTTAAAACAAAAGACATTAACAAGTTAGTAAAACACTTTCAGAGAAAAAATTAATTACTCTTTAAAAAATAAAAGCAGGTCATACAGTTAATATATCATATGCATCACTATTGACTATTAAAGGACTTAAAAAATGAGAAAAGATATTTTACCTATTGTGAAATTCATTATGATAATACCTTTCAATATATATTACAATTAGCTTAGTCTAGGGGTGATAAAATCACAGAAATTATTTTGGAGGATATATTCTCTTAAAAATCTTTATAAGCATAGCTCAAATATTAACTATAATTTTTTTAACTTCTTGATTTCTAAAAATATACTAATTATAACTTATTATAATACTATAATTTTTTTTAACTTCTTGATTTCTAAAAAATACTAATTGTAACTTATTATAAAAATCAGCAAATGCATATGCTATCTATAAAATCTTTTTAAATAGTTTAATGTAAAAGCTAGCTTCTCCAAAAGAATTTTGTTTTAAAAACTGTTGATGACTAAATACTATTTGCTGATATTATATATTAAATTCAATTTTAATCTGCATAATTAGGGTGCCTACTTGATCTGAAATGACATTAATACATTTAAGTGCTTCATAACTTTATGAAGGTTTAATATCTATACTTAAGCATTAATACATTTAACATAAACAACTATACTACTGTATTTTGCCGTGTATAATGCACACTTTTTTGCCCACATTTGTGAGGGAAAAATAAGGATGCACATTATACATGGGTAGTACTAATTCCATTACCTATATAAATATTTTTAAATCTTTTATTTATGCTTATGAGTTAAAAGTGTAACTCTAGAAATCAATAATGATATCTATATGCAAAATAATACCCTGGAATATGATAATCAGTTTTGTTGAACTTACGACAAACTTGCAACGACGAAGAGTTCTTGGCCTTCTATGATGCGTAAATATCGTAAATTTGTTACCCGTACATAAAATTTCTTGTAACTTGTATCTGTTCTTGTGTTTTGTAATTATTTGTAACATATAATTTCTTGTACCATAATATGTTAAAGAATAAATGCTAAAATTCCTTTATAATACAAAAAACAAGTACCTAAATGTAAACAAATAAAAATTTGAATTAAAAAATTAAAACAAAAGATTATTTCCCCTGAAAGTTTGGGCCTAAAATGTGGATGTGCATTATACAGGGGAGCGCATTGTACACGGCAAAATACGGTAACTTAAATATCATGGACACAAATGAAGACATCTAGTAGGATAGAAATGTCAACCATGCTAAAAGTACTCTCATGGTTAGTATTTGAAATATAGAATTGGCAAACACCCCCTCTTCTTTATCTGTTCTCTAAGGGTAAATTTTAAAAATTAGGACTATAAAATGCAAATGCCTTACTAGGTATTAATAATAATTTAACTGATAAAATTATTTATCTATATTTTAGTTATTCATGAAATTGCAAATAATTTAAAATAGGGCATGTCTTTTTCTGTAGAAGTACTACATTGATAGTTTATTACAATAATTAGAACTAATTTACTAAATAAATTTAAATGAATAAAACTTGCCCAAAAAATTAACAAAATGCACAAATGTCAATCATTTTGGGGTTAATGAATATATCATTCTCTCGAGTATTTAATTGTGAACAATAATATTCATAAAGATGGAATAACATCAAGTGTACAGTACGTCACTGCTGTAATGATTTTATATAAAAAATAATAATTTTAAGAATAACATGTATAAAGTAGTAAAAAACACAAAAATTAGTCTGATGAAACAAAAAGTAGACTTTGGATTAACAAAGTTTTGAAATAAATTTGTAAATTACAATTGATTTTTATTTCTAAGCATTTAATAATATTAAACTGAAAACCTGAAAAACTGAAACACATTGGTCACAAAGTAGTTTAAAAATATTTTATAAAAGGATTTTCCTTTTCATCCTACTGTTGAAAAGGTTATCAAAGTAAGACCTTACATTCTTATAAAAGAAATATTATCATGCTAACCATTTTCACATATAGATATTCTAATAATAAATTGAAGCATGTGTTACTATTGCTGCATTTCAACTGGGGAAACTGAGTCCTTATAATATCTCTGCAAGGGAGCTTGGTGACAGAGGTTTTATTACCCTTCATGTTACTGGCTAAAAAACTGATAAATGAGAACAAAGCAAGTTACTGAAATAACTAGCATTCAGAGGTCTATCATCCCAATCTTGTTTGGTCTTTAACCATACTGGTATTCTGTTTAAGGAACATAATTGTAATAACCAATAAAAACATTTAGAAAAACAAATTAAAAAGTTAGAAAAGCACACAATATAAAATTTCATTGAGTTATATACATTATCACTAAAATGTACATGCCATATTTTTATAACTAGAAAAACATACTTTAAAATTAACAAATTATAATACACTATGACTACATCATTAATGCTTTTGGAAAAGAAAAAAATGTTCTTACCTGTAACTCTGTCATTAAAGATACCTGCTGAAATAGTCATCATTTGAGATATTGAATTGCGTGGTAGAAGACAGTGAAATTTGCTAAGCTCAAAGTTCTGAGCTAATGACCTGCCATTAGATAATTGTACTTTTCTCCTATGAATGTCGCAATAATTTTTTATAGAAAATCATAGTATAGCCTTTAAAACAAACACTGTTTAGGATTTCAATGTAAAGAGAATAGAAGAATTGACTGGTGATCAATTTCAACAACAAATCATTAGAGATTAAGATTGCAAATAAGTAATTTTTCTTCTGTATATAAACCTGCTGAAATACTTCTTTCTGGTCTATTTCTCAAGGACAATCCTTGCCCTCTAAAGTTTAAGATGAATTAAATGTTCCTACTTGCATTTTTCTGCAGGTCAGATGACCACTTCAAGGCAATATGTAAAATGAATATTTTGGGTCAATTACAATACATTCATGTGATATTTTGAAGTTTCATTCACACTATAAATATACCCTGAGATGAAGGGAGGAGCTATAAGGGGGGAATGTTCAGATTAATTTCAGCTAGACCACATTCTTTTTTTCCCAATAACATCTGAAAGCCAAAAATTTTAATGCTGATTTTCAAAACATAATCTGCAATATAAGAATACTTGTAAGCATACTTAGGAAGTTGGAAAGAGGTTGAACTGAAGCCATTAGTAAAGTCAACCAGTTGTCAACACCCTCCACTTAGACACTCAGGATTAAATTTAAGATAGTAACCATCATACTAATAAATAATAGTAAAACTGGCCGGCCAAGTGGCTCAATTGGTTAAGAGTTCGCTCAAGAGTGCGACTTCAGAGCAACAGGGTCACCAGTTCGATTCCTGGCCCGAGCTGAGCTGCTGCTGAGCTGCCAACAGGTGGCAGGATGGCTCAACTAAAAAAAAAAATAGTAAAACATCTAGTGCACCATTTCTGATCATTTGTTCTGAGACATGTTAATGGATATTATACATGGAAGGGGTAACTGGGCTAAACATTTACCGGGTTCTACATACAACAGGCACTGTGCTAAGAGTTCCATCCAAAGTTAAGACACAGTCCGTCCTTTCAAGAAGTTCACTGTCAAGGAAACATTGAAAAAAATGTTATGAAACAAAAGAATTGTGAAAAGTTTTAGAAGAGACATCTATATGACTCAATGGCTGTATAAAGGACTAAGCCACTATGAAGATGAAAGAGGCAAGGAAGCAGTGAAGACACTACAGTGAGCTTAGTTTGCAGCAAGAGCAAGAGTTATAGCAAAGCAGGGAAAGGGGGTTCAAAGCAGAACAAATCCAAAGAAGTATAAAACAAGATGCCAATGATATGAGGCCCTGAGTGGTCTCATATGGTTGGTATGTAGGGAACAGGGAATAATAACTTGGAGATGCAACTGAAGAGATAGCAAGGGCCACTTCAGGAAAAATCCTGATTGCCATGCTAAAATGTTTATGCTAAGAACTTTATTCTAAGGCTAATAGGAAAGTATGACCAGATTTGTGCATCAGGAAGAGAAAGGGCGGTATTAGAGGAGGACAGGCTCTAGTCAAGGAGTCCAGATAAGAGATAGATTGTCTCAAGTAAAGCAGTAGCAGTGGTATGGAGAAAAGGAAGTTTAGACTGATGATAAACAAGGTAAAACTAAGACAATGTAAGTACCAATCAGATAAATATAAATGAGGAGAGCAAATATGACCCCTCAAATGTCTGTGCTGAGTGGCAAAAGAATTGTAATGCCATTAACCAAGATAGGAAATTCAAGGCAAGAAAAAGCATATTTTGCAGGAAAAATGAATTCAGTTTTGGACATACTGAGTTTATGGTCCCTGTGGAACATTCATATGGAAATATACCACTCAGACCTGCTCAGTCTTCTATAGCTCATCCTTAGGCACAATCCCAACCATCACTTCTATATAGATAACCTTAAAATTGTCATCCAGGGGTCGGCCAAATGGCGCGTTGGTTAAGAGCTGGCTTGGGACGCCAGAGGGCCCCGGTTTGGATCCCACATATGAGGGCCAGTGACACTGCCCTCTACAGCTAAGATGCTGAACAATGGCATAGGCTGTAGCCCCTGCTGCAGTGGGTTGCCATGGGCTACCGTGTGTTGCCAGCAGCCAGTGTGAGCGGCCAGCAGCCACCTTGAGCGGCCGTCCAGAAGCCTGCAACTGATCTGCCTCGCCCAGGAAGAGCGCAATGATAGTGCCAACTTGGGC